GTAGCAGGAATGCTGCAGCAAAATCCTCATACCAAGGCATGTGAAAACATCTGTAGATGAATCCACTGCCCTATGGCAGTGGGAATCCTGGTCAATGAATTGAGTTCTGAGTGCTGAAACAAATGAAATCCATGCCACAAATCTCCTGTCTGCAGCATTGTGATTCTCTCTCTTTGAGATTCTGTGCAGAGTTTTTCCTGGTGCATTGCATTAATATTAAATTAACAACACACTACTCACATGGAACTTACATTCTAAAAAAAGCTCACATTATGCTGTAAGCCTTTTATTACAAAATAATAGCAGTCGTGAGGTTAAAGTTTGTTCATACAGTTTTCTATAGAACATCTGTACATTTTTTATGGAGGATAAAAGCTACGTTCCACGTGTAGCTTAGTCATATGAATATAGATAATGAGTAGTTTATTGGATTTCTTTTTAGATTTTTACCATTCACTTATATTCATACAAAGTATGCAAAGCATACCAGTTTTCTGTAAGTGGTGCTTGCTTTTCAGAAACTCTAATTTTTCTGTCAGTGTTCTGCAGAGGATGTGACCTGGTACGAAAAGGACCTATTCCTCTAGGATTTAGCTTGTAGCTAGAGGCATAAATCAAAGATTCTCTGAAGTGGATTGTAATCCACACTGGAGAGAATAAAGAGAAATCACTAGGTCCATATGGAGCAGGACCTTGAAATGCTTTATGAGGACCACATTCACTGGAACAGTTACCCAGCATCCAAACCATGGAAGCCCACACAGGCTTCAAAATCAAAATATTTCAGGGCTTTTGTGGCCTTCCATGATGCAGAAGCTGGACAGAATTTTTATTGAATCTGGCCCTAAATAAGCAAAAGAATTTTGTAATCAGTGCATGGTTTAACAGGAAGCCAGAAAAATTCTTTCAATATTGGAATGATATGGTGGGAAAGCTTAGCCCTAGATACAGTCCTGGCTGCTGAGCTCAAAAAAAAATTTGCCTGCAAGCAAAACTAGCAGGGAGTAAAGCAAACTCCTAATTAACCCGAATTGGAAAAGGTATGTATTGGAATCTCAGGTTTCTACTGCATGTATATATAAGCCGTGCCTTACTTTTCAAATGCTGACCCTTCACTCCACAAAAATGTTTTCAAGACCTTAAACAGACCCAATCCTTGAAGGCTGAAGCCCCTTGTCTTTTTCTTATATTGTAGAAGCACTTGCAATTATTGCTAGAGAACTCTGGATGCAGTGCCAGAGCTCCTTAATGCCATTCCAGGTGTCAAACAGCAGGGACTGTTAGAAAGCAATATGTAGCAATCTTCAGCCCTGATGGTATTTGAGCATTAAGCCTTGATCCCAGAACAGTTGCTTGATGTATTGCCAGAAGTCCTAAAGTTTTGGTAGAATGGATGGGGAACAGGCAAATGAGTGACTACTGCATGACGGTCTAGATTGGAAAGTTACTACTACATCACCTATGCTGTGAACTTGAAATTATCTCAGTGCTCTCCAGTGAGACACGTGCCATGGCAGAGCCAGCAGGAGGGGCAGGTATTCTCACTGCAAGTGTGTTTTCTCACCTTGAAATGGTATGTTCATGTTTTAGATGCAGAGATTTGGCTAGCACTCAAAAATGTCCAAAGGGACGTTGGCCAACCTCTGAGAGCATTGTGGACACCCAGATACGTGGACAGGGTTCGTTTTCAGTCTAAATGAGTGGATCTGAGTTCATTCCTTTAGCTTCAGAGTGTACCTGTAAGTCATGATGATTTCACCCTGAGCAGCATGTAGGCATTTCAATAAACAGGGTATGCACTGTGTAGCAAAATCAAAGCTATGCAGTAATAACTACCCTGCAGCTAAATGGATGCTTTTTCCACAGCTGAATCCTTAGAGGGATGATGTAGTTTTTAGTCATTCAGTGCCATGTGACTTATTAAAACAATTAACAGGCAAGAAAAGTGGTTATTTTGAGTGGTTTGGCAAAGGGTATGCAGAGTAAAGTTCAAGCAGAGTGAGTTTCTACCTGTGTTGGTAGGAAAGTGCGTGAGGTGGCCAGGGCTGCAGTTCTCTTCTTAGCTCCCCTTCTAACTCACTGTTTGACCTTGGAAAAATCTCCTGGCCACTTTGGGTTTTCAAGTCATTATGAACTCAAAACTCATATTAGCTTCTCTAAAAGATTTGTGGGCTCTCCAGGCAAACCTGGGTCCAGCTCTGGGGTTATGCCCGATGGGTTTATAATTTGAGCCCTGTGTACACAAGGTTTGAGGTTTTGACATGTAACCAGATGAAACATAATGGTTTCAGCTGAGTTTTGCTTTGAAATTTTGGGTTCAGCTGCGCTCCTCACTTAAAAGGAAGGACTGAAGGTGGTCGAGCTAAGTGAAGAAACTGTCCACTGAGGGCTTCTAGGAAAAAAAAACAGATAGTTTCACTTTGTCTGATTTAAAATTAAAGCTCTAGGTGTGTAGTTTACTGAGGATTTTATATTCAGTGCAATTGCCTGTACCCTGTTGCAGGAGGAGAATATGAGACACAGGTGCATAATATATAAAACTTGCATGATGAAAGGGCTCTGCAGACAAATCTGGAAACCTTGTGAGTGACATCACAGATTTTTCCTTTTTGAAGTACCTTGCCTTGCCTTGCCTCTGTTTCTTCTGTGCCAACCATCTGAACAGCACTGTGCAAATGTAACTTGTGATTTTAACAGTAAGCTACCACCCCAGGACTTGCAGGACGGGTCTTTTAGATTTCCTGCAGGATGGTAAATAGATATGTTGTCAGTCTGGTCACAGCTTCACTCAGAATGCACCTCATGTCCATTGTCAGTGTTGCTGGTCTTGGGTCCTATTTTAATAGGCCTATGCATCTCTCTCTGGCCTTGTAGCTGCGTTCTGGACCTGCTGATCTTTTTGAGGTCTGTAAAGCCAGTGGAGCCTGAAATCAGCTCTAGTTTGTCAGTGATTTAAACTCATTTCCGAGCTCTAGTGCTGTGGACGCTCCAGCTTATAGCCCATGCCTTGGCACATAGTTAATGTAGATAGCTAAACAACGCAGGCTTAGCGGAAGGGCTTTCAGCAAACAATTGCTATTTTCTTAGGCAACAGATTTCAAGGACACGAGGGCTGGGTGAGCTCTGGGTCACACTTTGCTCAGGTTATATTTGCACCACAAGCATGGAAGCAATTGCCAGTGCTAGATTTAGCTGGCCACCATGGGCAGTGAGTGCCTGAGCTCATATGAGACCCAGGTGTGTCCACCGAGGCTCCCGTGCTGGAGGAACCCTCAGGGGCTGGACTGGCTCAAGCCAGTGCCACCGCCCTGATCTGCACAGCCATTGTGCAGGGGAAAGGAGCACGGGATCTTCAGGGCCAGCCAGCTCATAAGGATGTAGACAGCTGCTCCCCAGCACTCAGGGGGAAACTTCAGAGGGCAGAGTCTGGCACTGTGTTGTGTAACTTTATTTCAAAGAACTAACTGTGATTTTTATATGGAGCATTTGTGTGCCAGAAATGCAGCGCTTTTTATTTAGTGAAATATCCTTTGAAAAACTGTAAAATCATGACAGGTTTTCATATTTATTTTACATTCAGCTCAGGATTATACACGATCAGCTTTAGGGCCTTGTAGGAGCCAAGAGACTATAAAGGTTGTCAGAAAATTGGAGGCTTTATACCAGGCTGTTCTGATTTAACTGGCAGACCATTTAAAGTTACTGAGATTTGGGGAGAAGCAGAGCTTTTTAGAAATGTCAGTTGTCTGAGTGCTGCAGTTTCTGACTGGCACCCACTCTCCAAAGTACTGACCTCAGCACCGACAGGAGAACGGCAGCAGCATCTTTAAGCTAGATTGTGTTATTATTGTTCAGAAGTTTTACCATTTCTGAGTAGATAAGTTTCCCCTGGAGATGTAGTAGCATCTGGGCTTTCTTGCAGCTGAGTTTAAAGCCTCCTGGTTCCCTGAAATGAAGTGACAGCTTTTAGTCTTCCACATGAACGTGTGAATGTATTCAGGTTCATTTATAACACACAGAGAAGAAATTGATATTGGGGGGGGAGGGGGAAGGAAAAAAAAAAAAAGAGGAAAGAGAAAAAATCTTTGAGGGCTTCATCTGCTCAGGGAAGTAGTATAATGCATCCACACACTTCAGTCCACGTGAGCAGAGTAGTAATGGGATACACACACGCACACAAGCTGGGATCCTTTTCAATCAGTTGAATTATTCCTTTGGTCAAACGTATTTTTCTTAGTTCTAATAATAAATGCTGAAATCTTGGGTTAGTGAAACGTACAATGATAGACTTTAATATACACAGTGTGGTTACCTCGAACTGTATCCAGTATACAATGGACACATTGTTTCTCTCTCTCTCTTTTTTTTTTTTTTTTTTTTTTTTTTTTTTTTTTTTTTTTTTTTTTTTTTTTTTTTTTTTTTTTTTTTTTTTTTTTTTTTTTTTTTGTGTTTCCACAAAAGTATAAAAGAGCGTCATGCAACAGACAGCACATTTTAGTCTGAAGTGGAACTGGCAGAGGATTTCAATGGAAAGTTGATTTATTTCAAGGGATTATGGGAGTCCAGGGATAAAGCTGGCACCCGGCCACAGGGAGAGCCCTTGACCTAGAAGCAGGAACAGTTTTCAAAGCTGTACATGTACATAACTGAGCAGAACACTTTAATTTAGTGCAGAGCATAACCTGAATTCCTTCTCTAAGGGAAGATGAAAGAAAGAAATTTTACTTCTTAGTAGGACGTTGGAAGCTGTATCCAAAGCTCTTTGCCTATTTTACATCTTATTCTGCAGCATTGCAGGAAGCAATTGTTTGTGACAAAAGGCCACTTTCTTCCCTGCTTAACTGGGAAAGCAAATTGAGCTGCCACTCATAAAACCGACTGGATATAGAATTAATTTGCTTTTCTTGATAGACGAAACAAGTTAACAGACCACTGCAGGTTACTCTCTGAATCAACATATGAAACATAATTTCATTGTCTTTCCTCCCCCCTTCCTCTAGGCCTTGAGCGGTAATTATAAAGACTTCAGATCTCCCTAGTGACATCAGCTGGTTAAAAAAATTTGGATCACAGGAATAATGTAACCCAGAGCCTGCTTTCAGCAGCGTTGTTCACACTCCAGAGAAGGTAATTCTATACAAAATACTCTTCCATAACTGTGCTCTATTAATTTTAGTGGTAGTTTTCAGTAAGCTTCACATTGGGATTCACATCATCTGGCCTATTCCTTAGTCAGAAGGTACAAAGCATGACAGCAACAAAAGGAGTCTTTAAAACGATATTTTGGAGCATTTCGTGAAGACTGTGTATTATATCAAACACGCCATAATAATTACATTTACTAAAACTTCCTGAGCGATAATAGGCTTCTAGCTCAGCTGCCCGTAGAATCAGCCATAAACTTCAGCCACCTAATTAAGTGCTTTATTCTGCAGCTTCTAGTCCAGCCAAATGACCACAGGCATCTGTAGGTATCTGACCTGAATCAAGGACTCTGGTTTTGAGCCCTGTGTTTCCAGACAGTGTGTCTGACTGATACTGCAAAACCACAAAATGCCAGATGGTTTCAACATATTACGCAGCTCCCTGTATGGGCATCCAGCGACAGTGTGTGCCTTCCTGCAAAATTTCACAAGCTGAAACAACTTCTTGCAGTGTGGAGACAACACTGTGCCTGAAAACAAAGATTTAACGACATTGGCGTTGATCAGCCTCTTGTCAACTTCTGGCCTGGGAAAAATTGTCAGCTGTTCTAAAATTAGAAGATAACGTAACCCTGGCCAGAATAGGGCATAGTCTGGGCAGGCTTCTTCATTATCAGCTTCCTTGTTGAACTTTAATCCTTATTTTATGACCCTTCCGCTAGTTTGGGTATAGCTTGCATCACGGGCACAAACTGCCCGTCATGCCATATTTGCACAGTGCTTTTCTTGTGTGCATTAAAGTGAGACTAGTGGATTGATTTCATTTGTCAGCTATAGCAAGTGGAGACCGAGGGGCTTTCCCACCACCCAAACTGTGGCTGGGGTGGGTCCCATTTTAGGAGGTCCTTTTGCTACCTTTCCCAAAGCAATCTTCACTTGAGACCACCAAGTCCCCTTGCACACAAACTAGTCTGCTGGTTTCCTTCTAAGTTGTGTACAAATACCTTGGATCTCTAGGGAATTGGGAAAGAGCCATGGAGCCAGCTCAGTGCAACAGAGGGAGCCTCCTTCCTCAGTATATGCATACACCCTCTTGTCAGGCTCTGGAGGGCAGGCTCTGACCCTTTGCATTTCCTGAGCTACGTCTTTCAACACTGTAAAGTTCTTCAGCACACAAAATATGCCTCTGGGTGTGCCCTGAGCAAGTATCAGCAAAACTGTTGAGGCTGTTGCCTGCTTCTCTGCTTAATCTGGGAAGGAGAAAGAAGGCAAATTTGGCTCTCAGAGGAGAGCCATTCAGCTAGTCCTGTTCTTTAACACATGGTCAAGACCTAGATAAGGCAGCTTTTCCCATGTGTGCCTTTATTTAGTGGCATTCGGGATCTGGTGCCAGGTGTTGAAGGAGATGCAGACAGTGCAAATGCATGAGATAAAACCAGGCTGCATTTGT